AGCCAATTAGAATTTCTTTTCATAACGTCGATCATTACAGGGTATTATCCCTGGTTGAATTTAGCCAATCAGAATTTATTCTAGAATTTTTCATACCATCAATCATTACGGTATTTAGTATTTCCATCTATGGAAATATCCCTGACTGTAGTAATCTTGTTCATAACCAGTTAACCAGTTAAAAAAATTAACAGTTTAACAGTTAATTTAACTGGTTAAAATTAATGGTTAACCAGTTAACTGAAGGTTTTAATAGTTAGTTAACTGGTTAAAGAATTTTTAAATAGTGCCAATCTCTAATACAATAAAATAATATAACAATTGAATAATTACCTCCCCCCCCCATTGTTAATAATTAAATAAACACATTTTACCTTATCACGAATTTTTTCATAGTTAAGAGGAAAAGCCATTGTAAATTGTTCCATGAACCTCTCTGATGGTTAGTGGGCTGGCCAAACTTTAACCATTAGATAGGAACCCTCATTTGATTGTTCTATGTTGCTTGTAGGGACACCTCAAGTGGTATAGTTGTATTTTTTGTATATATTTTTTTTATTTATTTATTATCTTAGGCTGTGCCAATAGTGCTTAGCATTAGCATTACAGTAGGAATTGCACAAGAGATTTATTTTAGGAAGGCTCCTGAGTTGTATGCAGAGACAGAGACCTTGTGAGAGATTTTGGGCTGTGTCACTGAAGGCTCCTAGCTGTGTGCAAAGATGGAGGCCTTGTGTACAGAGATGGAGAAACTTTATAATTATTGGACTTTATGCTTTATATTTATGTCACAAGCTAGTAATATAAAATGATCTAAATATCTTAGAAACGGATAAAAATCAAATTATGGAGCAAAAGTTGTCATGCCTTTCATTACATAGTAAGGATGGTTTGACTCTGGAATTTTTGGAATTGCATCATTGTCAAGAAGAATGTTAAAATTTTAGTATTTTTCTTCCTCTTTGTTTCTGTTTAAAACTATAGACTTTACAAAAATCTGTACTTAACCTTGTCTTATTTACTATGTAAAAGCCATTCTACATATTAATGTTATTAATATTAATATTGTTTTATGCTTACTATTACGCATAGTTAACTTCAAAATCAAAAATTGAAAGAAACAACTCGTGTGTACGTAAAAATTGCTCTACATACATATATACTGTATGTGCGTTTCAAACTCAGGCACGCAATTTGATTTTATGAAATGTAGTTTGAAAGTTTAGCATTTTATTTCGAAATTCGTTGTAATGCAAATTTGATTATAATTTGTTGAAACAAGGTTTGATGTAGTGAATTTATACAAAGCTAATAATTGAAACTATGAATTTTTATTTAAAAAGCCTTTTTGATATTATAAATATGATAAAAATAATATCATAACATTAATATATATATATGCTCTATATTAATATACCAAACTAAATCATTCCTCAAACTCGTAGAAATGTCAAAGATATGTTTCTTTATTATCAGTAATAATTGATAGATTTAAGAGAGTTAAAAAATCAAGATTATTTAATAAACCATCATTACTTGTATAACTTCTCGATTTAACAATCTCTTCATCTCATCTAATATTCTACTTGTATGATATGCATCTGGATGTGATTTGTGAACCTGTTACGAATTACCGCTGCTGCTGCTACCAATAAATAAATCTACAGGATGCGAAATTCCTTTTGATTGGCCAATTTAATTTTCATAGCAATAATAATAGTTATAAATGTTATATTTGTATTCGATACTTTGGAAAGACAGGAGGATTTATTTAGTATTACTATTACTAATATAAGTAATATTTAATTACGAAAATAAAAGACATACTACTAATAATAATGACACTACAATACTATATTATACTATATATACAAAAAAATTTAATTAATTAATTTTTGGTTAGAAAAATGTCAAAGACACGTTTCACGATTAGTTTCCCCAGGAAAAATATATACAATTAATAAACAATTGCAGAAATTCACATATTGTTACTCAATAGAATGGGATTTTCTGGATAAAATCGGTATTTACCCGTAAAAATTATTCAGGACTCGGAAATTCATGTGCTTGCACTTTCACCTGGACTTTTTGTTTTCTTTATCAAGTAATAAAAATAAATAATAAAAATTGTTTATTTAAAATGTCAAAAGTTTGTTTTTTTTAAATAGTGCAACAGAAAGTGTGGGCATATTAATATATTTATCAAAAAATTCTGATGGGTGACCGACCCTATATAGAAAAGGACAGGGTACGGATTCAGCCACTTATACTTATACCTATCCCCTGTCCTTTTTAAATGTTTGCTCACTATAAAGGGACAAGCGCGAACAGGAAAAATCAGGGATAGGTGGCCTTCAACAAATTTTTTATGCATAAAAATAAATTAAATCCGCTCTTGAAAAGGACAATAATAATAAAAGACAATGTGTGTATATTGTCGTCTAAATAATATAAATTAACAAATAATTGCCTATTTTGTTATAGAAATGTGGCTTTGTTTATTGTTTATTTTGAATTGTGAATTATTCCGTTTTCTTTGTCACTTTTAGACTTTAAATCAAATTGGCAAAGTCTTATTTTTTTTTTAGGCAATTAATTTTTGGCTAAAATATGTCAGATCCACATTTTAATATTCCCCAGTCCAACAAGCATAAGATAAATAAATGTGTACGCGAAAATAAATACATATCTAGAGATCGATATTTAAAAAAAGGAAAAACTTTAAAAACGCGAATTTATACATATATATATAAATATTAATCTCGTCTTAACAGATTAAATATGGATAAATTATTAAAAAATTTGGAAAAAACAATTAACACAAATAAATATTTGAATGCAAATTACAAATAATTCACACGAAAATGAAGGCTCTTAATCAGACTGGACTTGTGGAAATAAAATTTATAAACACAAAAAAGCGCCGAGAGATTAGATTTAGAATTGATAAGATTTAGATGGTCTTGTATCAAGAAAAAGTAATACTCAAATTAACTCTAAAATGCCTAGAAACAATTGAATGTTATGCTCAAACAAGATTAAAAATTAAAGGACACGGGGAAAAAATTTGAAGAACAATTTGATAAAGATTGCTCATTACCTGCTTGTGATAGTTTTTGTTCATTTATTTATTTTATTTGAGATCTTTAGAATGGATCCAATGCACTTCCAACTGTATATTCAACAACCTGATTAAAAAGGGCTTTTATTTATTATTTATTACATTATTATTATGGACATCATCACGTTCAAATTATGAGAACGAGTATCTGAAACCCTTCCAAAAAAAGTTGCAAGTGTGCCAATATTTGGATAAATACAATCCACTTGCTTCTGTCAGAAAGTTATCTGAAACATTTTCTAACGCTGATATGGTTGCTTATTATCGTCGGAAAATAATTGATGATGAGGATATTATTGTCAAGACAGCTTGTCGACATGAGTGACAACTTTGTCTTGTGTTAAATATATAGTACTACAATTTCGTCAGAAAATTTTGTTACAGATGGCACTTGTAAATATTCTTCTAATATGCTTTTGTTGTCAAGGTATAAGTTCATTCATGATGTCGATAGTGATGACAGTAATGTACATTATAATTCAATATGGTATTATTACATGTATTATTTAATTATTAATTACTGAATTTTACATTTGCCTCTAAGCGCAAGATTGTTAAAGATAGCACTTATCCATCATGGTAAATTTATATTAAGCCTTTGAAATGCAGATCTTTTTTTCAATATGTATTTTTAGATCTTTTTTTAATATTAAATATCAATATTAATTTATTCAATTGCCAAAAATTTCAATATGTATTATTGTATTGTAACAATAAATATAATGATTTTTTCTTTTCTTACTTTTTTATAACTTTGTCAGAAAAATGAATTTAATCAATCCATATATCTAAATCAAAAATAGATAAAAATAACTATGTTGTCTCTATACATCTTTTCACTTGACAATGCACAATGGTCGCATACAATTTATTCATCACTACTTATATCACTCACTATCTTCATATCCAAGTTCAATCAAGCCTTCAAATTTTTCGAGGCTTTCTCAATTGTATGGTGACCCTAGGAAAGTATATCATTTATCACTTGGATTTTTTTGCTCCCATCACACAAGTCCCACGTAAAGCCAAATAACATAATAAGCTCACAAGCTGACTCACAATCTTAATAGGTTAGAATCATCGTTGTCATCAATAAGGTAAAAAACAATGACAATGAAAAAATTTATTATTTATTATCAATTATTATATTGCATATTAATAATTTGTTTTTTGTTTTTTAGATGTGATATAAAATAAATAGAATTAATAAAAAGATTATCAAACAATTTACATACATGTATTTGAATATTTGAATCATTTATTATATAATGAATTAATTATTATTGGATGGCTTTTTTCACATGAAGCCGAGAAACGTCAATCAAAGTGTATCTTGTGTAAAGAGCAAGTTTTCATAAACATTTTATGCCTTCAACATAATCATACAAAAAGAAATTTTATTTCCTAATTGTAATTCAATATACTCTAATGTTGTTGTTATTCTTCCAATTATTTTACTTTAGTGCTATAATAATCAACAATAAAAAAATGTAAGAATTCTGGTAATGTAGAAGAGAGAATATCAAAAGCTTGCAAATTTGGATCCACTTCTCATGGCCGTGTATCATTTGGAAAGTGCCCATTGAATGAACCAAGAAGAGCGAGGAAAAAGGATAAAACAGAACATGAACAAAAGTAATAAGACCAAGCTAGAAATGTAATGGATATGACGAAGGTACATACATATATTTATGTTTCAGACAATATATGGTTATATGGTTTTGCACGAAACCTTAACTTATTTATTCTGTACTCTATTTGGATTTTAACGATACATGCACCTTGGGCAATTTCTTAGCCTTGCAGCACGATCTTATATTGTTAACCGCCACAATTACATTTCTGTCACTTTGAGAAATGTGCTAATCATGGTTTAGATGCAAGCTTCAAGATATAGACAGAAATCAATTCGCTAACCATCTTTGGTATTTGGTAATTTGGTACCTATTCACTATTCATCACCAAGGCTTAGTAGTTATTCCTTCACCGGCATTCAACGTAGCTACCTACACAGAATTTCGTTTGCAGGGAGAGCCTTACAAAGTTTTCTACGGGGATGGGAAAAATATCATTGGGATACGTCGTGACTTATTTGTATCTGCTGACACAAACGAAAACATTTCAAAAGAGTATCACAATTTGGCTAACTTCACAAAAATAGAAGAAGGCGGCAGATAAAGCAACATTATATATACATTATTATTATTCCATACATCATTAACATGCTATAAATAGAATAGGAATATTAAATCAAATACCTACCTCCATACATAGACAGTTTTAAGGTTCACATTCGATTCATCCTAATCCAGAAATCAAGACTTTAAATTGTTCTAATCATTGTTGCTCATTGAAATGAGACAATTATTCCAGAAAATAGGCTGTTCTCTCTGTTCTCGTCCGTCATATTACTGGGAATTCATACGGGATAAGTCTATTTAGATATGTTCTTTATGTAAAGAAAAACCACAACACACAAATGCTTTAAAATTACGTATGTAAAAGCATTTGTTGCTTGAGCTTGGGGAATAGAGATGTCAATGCAGCAGCAAAGGAACATACTTGTTTATATCTGCAACAATAATGGTCAACGTCCGGATAGTTTTACATATGCATTCACGCAAATTAAAAAACAATAACAACAAAATAATAATAATATAATAGTAAAAATGAAATTTTTTTTAATTTTTTAATTTAAAAATAGTTTTTAATTTTTAATTTTATAAATATGAAGTCCCGTTAATAGAAAAGCTACTGTTCCACAAAAAGCGTAAATGCAATACTGCGGTTAAACTATAATAATTAACAATCAACAATTAAAATCTATCTAGCATTTACACTTTTTTGGCTGTATAAAAAAAGTTAGTACAAAGCATGTCAAAATTGTGGGGAAAATTATAAATAAATACTTTAATTGTTATTTATTATTATTATTACAATAAAGAATATACAACCAATTGGTTGTAAACTGGTTACTAAAATTCGAACCCCTGCAATTGTTTGTACAGTGTTTCTTAGTTGAATAGAGAGAATAACCCAATCGGATTTGGGTGACTGGACATGGTGATTAGAGTTATCAAATCGTGTGATTTTACAAAACAAAAAAAGAACAATCAATAATGAATGAATAACTATAATAATTATTTAATAAAATAGATACAAAGAAATCATCTCTATTGCTAAAAGCCAATTATAACAAATTTATCTATTCTTTTACAACTACTTAAATCGTAAGTTTTATATCGTCAATGTCTTTTTCTATTTCAAGCTAAAGATTATCGTCCATGAGAATACTCTTTATCCCTTTTTCGTATAATAATAATAATATACAAGAACAATATCAATTAGGACAACCGAGTTATATTACAAGGACTTACAGCTTAACAGGAGTTTTTATATATGTTACCCGACTATAAAGAAAAAAGGACGGAAAAATTTTGTAGTTACCCATGTATAGAAAGCTCTTACACCACCCAGGTACATAAGTATGTTGTTACACAAAAAGTTATACAGAAAACTTCACCAGTATATAGTTGTTACCTCTCTAAATTGGAGATCAAGTTCAGATCCAATTCAAATCCAGTTTATCGCTTACTTTTTATTGCCAGAATGTTTGTCGTGTATTGTAAAGTTACGTTGTACAATATAAAAAATTAATGTAACATTTCAAATTTTCACTATGCTTATTTTGATCTGGTAAAATTTTTATTAATACACTAAAAAGGAAGGTAAGGGTTTTTGTGTGAGCGTATGGTGTGCTGCGTCATTTTTTTATGGGGAGATCTTACCTTTTTCGGTAACTCGTGAAAATACTCGGCAAATTATTGTTGGGTGAAATTTCAAATTATGTTATTATATATATTAATAAGTTGTTTTTTTTGCAAAAAAAGTTTTTTATTAGAGTTTTTGGTCATATTTAGAAAAGTGTCAGTCAGTGTTTAAAAAATTCGCAATATTTTTAGATTTCTTTGTTAAGATGAAATAAAATCCTGGGCCCACATTAAACGCAATACACTGCGTTAGACTGACAAACAAATTAAAATTTAACAATTAAATCGTACAATCTGCCATACGGTCTACGGTCCATGAAATTTTACCACGGACCTACGCCAAAAAAATCAAAAAATAAACAATACAAACAATTAATCAATTAACTCAATTAACGTATAATAAAAATAAAATAAACAATAAATTCCATATATAAAAAAAATCTAAAATTTAAATTATAAAAAAGCTATTTAAATCACTCGATTTCTGTCTTCCCAAAATAATTTTAAAAAATAATTTTTTTTATTTCTTCTAAATAATATAAAAAATAAAAACAAAAACCCTAAAATATTATAATAAATATTATAACACTACTGAAAATAAAACTCAACTATAAAATAAAATAAAAAAATAACTCATCTAAAATAATAACACTTTTCTAAAATAAATTTTTTAAACAAAAAAAAAATGTCTGCAACATTACTTGAATCAACCAATTCTAGCAACACATCAACACCATCTTCACCATCAAGATTTTCATCAATTCACCCATCATTACCACCATCTTATTCTTCGTCGTCACCAATAATACCATCAGGACATTTAGAAACTTCAGACAAATTTTGGCAATTTAAAGTAGAAGATGGATCAGTCACATATATTAGATACGGAAATATAGATTATGATGGCAGTTTAAAAGAAAGGGCAATTTGCATTCAAGAACATTCTTGTTACTCTGATGCCATAAGCTTTGTGGAAAATTTAATTGATGAAAAGTTTAAGGCTGGTTACGTTGGCTGGACGCACTATTGAAATTATTATTATTATTATTAATATTATTACCATTATTAATTAATTATACATGGATAATTGTCATCAAGCAGCAAATAGTGTCACGTGCATCAATAGACTAGGATTTACACAAATCTATGAACAGTTTTCCATTTAAAAAAAATTTTTTTTATGTAGATAATTTACAATTAACATTTTTAATATTTTAATTTCTTTTCCTGTACATAATAATAATAATTTTTTTTTTTTTTACTCTTTTTATTATTAATAAAAACAATAATTGAAATAAATTTTCTGAATTAAGATCATGCAGCTTTTTTACATATTAATACCGAATACTTATTGGCCCAATACCAAAAAAATTTTATTTTTATGCCTTTGTATGGATGGTGATCCGGCAAACAAAGAAAACCATATGGTAAACATGCAAATCCCCCAGTGTTGTCTTTATTAGAACCCATTAAACGCAAAAAAATTTTTTTTATTGTGTATCTACTATGGTTTCAATGAGGCCATTTGATTATATTAAAAATCGTGAGAAATCTCAAATTAATTAATTACGGATATGTCCGATATGAACAGAATTTATTCTCTAAACCGTAAAAGGTAAATTACTGATTTTATAATAAAGTCACATGGTATTGGTCAGCCCATTTTGATGTAATGGGCCCTAGATAATAGAAAAGGTCACTTTAATTGTTCGGGCCCCATTAAAAAATCATTTATAATAATAATAAGAAATTTACCAGAGCTAATTGTTAAATGCATGCCAAAAAAAATTTTTTTTTTGTTAATCACGGGTTCTATTATAAAAAACCAAAAATAGCAATGAACATTATCTCGTTATATGTAGGTAAATTTATTATGACATGCCATAATAATTAATAACCGCAACATCACAAAATTTGAATAATTGTAATGATAAGTGAATATCTTTTAAAAAATGTAATTTGGTTCCGAAAATCCGTAAATCAAGGTTGTGTTATTAACTTGTTACCCGAAAACTTTGACTTTATTTATTTTCACGTCATATGATTCATTACGATCTATGTTTATTTATGTTTCATTCTTTTTCATGCATCAATGATTTTATCGGTAAACAACGATTGTTTTTCTTGGATGAAATTAATATTCACCGATGAAATCGTTTTTACTCGATGGTATTTTTCTTAGGTAACAAACATCGGTTTTCACTGATAAAATCGTTACTAATTATTCGATACGTATTAAAAGAACTCTGACATTCGACAATTTTCGACTTTTTCTTAGCCTTCTAGTTAATAAATAAATAACAAGCTTGGACTTTAGAACAAGTTTCTAAACCATTCGCTGATGAAGACTTATTAATTTATTTTATTGCCATCAATTATTTCACACCCAATTCATAATAATTAATGAAAACGAAAAATATTTTTATTAATGAGCAATATAAATAGTAATAATAAAAAATTTTACAAAAAAAATTTTCCTTCTAATCCTTGAGCTTTACTTTTTAAAATGGTTACGGTTCTATGCCAAGAATAATTGTTTAAAGGGATTTTTGCAAAGTTTAGTTTCGCATATCATTAAAATTTCCACTTTTAGTTCCCCCTCGGTAAACTTCTTTTATTTTCACTTCAAATTCGCATATTCGTTGAAATTTTTTAATATAAAGTTTGCATTAAAAAACCCTCCAAAATTTTCGTAAACAGTTAGTACAATGCATTATAATCATAATTCTACTTTTCCGATCCAGATCTTTGGCTGATCTTTGGATATTGATCATAAACAAATCCTTTTTATCATCTTTAGAGACTTCAAACTTTTTACATATAGTATATCAAGTCTTTGCGGTTGTTTTTCTTAACAATTATAAGCGATTCTTTCCATTTTTGTTAAATCTTCTTACTCTGACTTTCTTTTTAAAAAGCAATGACTGGTGATATTAGTCGGCTAATAATCTGCATACATAATTTCTAAATTTAATAATGATTTCCGCATTACCTTCTGGTTATAGAAATAAATTACCAACTTAGGTAGTAAATGGCTAAGGGTTTTTAAATGGCCAACAACATCATCAGCAATGACAGAATACAAATTTTTTTTAATACATAATCATCCAAACAACAAAACTTATATTCATAACTTTTAGAATTTCATAAAAATATTTAAATAACAAAAACAATCATATGTTTTATTATAATTTCTAAATCATGGAAAATAATCATATGTTTTTAAATCATGGAAATAATCATAGTCTTTCAAATTATGGACAATGTTTTTTTAACGATTTTTAACGCATTTTTGTTGATCATTTCTCATGTGACTTTGCTGCAACACGATTAGAAAATTATTATTACTATTACATTCAACAAAAAATTCAACACGGTTCCGTTGTAACAAGGTTTGAGTGTAATTATAATAATCATATTAATATGGGCGGATTCTTGTACCCCCTAATTTTAGTAGATCATTTTCAATAATAATAATAATGCTTTTTATGAAAAAAAACTTGGCAAGAGCTTTTATTAAATGGACATACAACTTCACGCATAGTAAGAATTCTATTCTTGCATAAGTTCTTCATGTCACATTATTAAAATAGTAAAGTAAATAAATGCTCCTTTCCTGATTGAACTTTATTTTTAGCATAAATGTATTCAAATAAAAGAATATGTTGTTGTCAAATAAGCCAATCCCCAAGATTTTTGACTTTTGACTCACTGCATCATCATATAATGAACAAATTCCTGGTCATAAAATATGTTCCATTTAAAAATGTATTACATGTGGTTGATCAATCAGGTGACTTTTTTGACGAATCATATGAAAAACATAAATGAGGTCTTGGGAATTGGGTCAAACCCAAATTAATTTTCACAACATATATAATTCCATCTATAACATATAATTTTCATTTTTCATATATAGTGCATTAGTATGTGGTCCTAATATTTAATATTATCTTTGAATATTATCAGTACAAAAGATATTATTGAAGAAATTACAAAGACGATAAGGTCATGCCTGAAATAAATGAAAAAAATTAATCATCTATAAAATTATTAATTTATTGATGTTATATTAAAAGTAAATCACATATAGAATGCAAATTTTCACATCGTATTAATGTGGGAATCAATTTCATCCAATTGCATCTGCTTTACATTCTGATACAATTACCAATACCCCTTTTCCCCTCTTCCACTTTATCATGGGATTTTACAGTGCAGGTGAAATGACCCGTCTTCATTATCTTAATATTTATAAAACCATTATTTTTTTTTTATACTCCATTATTTAATAATAGTAATAATTCATTTAAAATTCTTCTTATTGTCGATCATGTTAAATTATATCCAATAGAAATCAGTTACAATGAGTCTCGATTTAGCGAACCTCGACTTAGTATTAGAGAATTTAGGGGTTTAACGGATAAATTTTCGAGACCAAATTTTCTTATAATAATAATAATAATAATAATAATAATAATTATCATTATTATTATTTATTAATATCTTGATTTAACGGATTTAACGGATTTTTCATATCAATATTAATATACATTCGATTTCTTTAAAAATCCATGTTAATATATTATTATGTCGTTTATAATTGATATAATGATGATCCTTGCTCTTTTGACTATTATAATAGCATAATGCATAATAACGTATGTTAATGCGGAGTTAAAAAATTGAATGTTCATGGTGATGCTAGTATAACATCATAATTTATAATTAATTTTCTTAATACACAGTGTATTGTTTTCGTATTTTTTTAATGCAAAAGTAATGAAATGTCAAATGTATTTTTTTTATTTATAATCAACTATATTATTACATTATTATTTTATGTAACATATCACATGATTTGATTATTATTTAACGGATATAAATTTAAAACAACCAATAATAATACGTAGCCCCACCAGCGATAATCATCTTCATTATACGAGACTCCATAACCTATTTTTTTAGATGATGACCGGTTTGATTATCATGTCGTCATTTGAGACACCAAGGCACATGTGCCGAAGATAAGCATACAGTGTCATGGCTTGATTACCACTCAAACAAATCAAGCTGTGTTCCTGGCCATGAGGATTAATAAGCGTGAACACTGAGATTTGAAAAAATTTTAATATTATTAATATTAATTAGCACTAAAAATTATTAAAATGATTAATTAAAATAATAACAAAATACTGAATGCAACTTTATCACCTGAACTTTTATATCAATATCTGATTACATCAAAACACTACTCCTGCCTGTATCCTTATTAATGAAAAATGACATCACATCAATTAATGGTGTTTATATCGATCTTCTCCTTTTATGACGTGAAAACGTAATTGATGACGCGCTAGTATTTGTCATTAGGACTAAAATAGCCGACTAAACTTTTTTTTGAACAACTAATAGTCGACTTATCTTATTCGACTAAACAGTCAATTATTTTAATCGATTATTTAGTCGACTATTTTTAATTTGACTAATTAGTCGACTACTAATACTACTAATACTAATACTACTAATACTAATACTAATACTACTAATACTAATACTAATACTACTAACTATGCTAATATTATTATTGTTTGACCAATTACGATTTTGTGTTTTATCATCCAAAATGGGAAAATTTATATGCGGAAGAATATCAATACCATCAATATGATATGATGATGACGACAATAATAGTGTTGTTGATGATAATTTTACATGTGAATGAATACACTTCCGATACAATGTCCAATGATTTAAGGGTGGTTCCAGAATACCCTTAAAAATACGAATCGTAACACATGGTTCTGTGTGAAAGTATTTTGAAAAAGTGAAAAGATTCAAATGGAAATGAATTCGTAATTTGCAAAAAAAAAAAATTTAGTTGGGCTAAAATAGTCAACTAAAATAATCAACTAATAGTCGACTAAAGAAATTTTTGACCAACTAGTAGTCGACTAAGGATTTTTTGGACGATTCCAACCTCTAGTTGTCATGTTGCATAAATATGCTTGGAATTTCCATGTTCATATCATAAACTTCTTAGTAATGAAATAATAATAATATCGCCAATAAAATAATTAGTAGAAGCACACCATAACCTTTAATTAACTTCTATATTACCAAGAGGACGGACCCTTTGAAAAATTATTAAATATTCAAGTCTAGATGTTAATCATTTTATGTTGCTACCAAAGCTCAAAAAGGCTAGAATATTTAGAGTTACGAAGCTGTGACGATGATGAAAAATTTAACGGAACAATCTACAAAACTTAAACCTCTCAAGATCAACAGCATGTACAAGAAGACATGAAAAAATTTTAAAAGGTTTAATCGAAAATTATTTGAAATAATCAATATTGTAAAAAGTTATTGATCAAGATACATTTCATTTAAATTCATTTCATCGACAATAGTGTGATCTCACTTCATTCTTTCAACACATGAATCAAATGACTCACGAGTGAAATAGAAACGATTGGGTTCACCAAGATCGAATTAAAAAAAATCAGGTTTAAGAAGGCGGGTGGTGCAATGGATGGTAATAATATACTCGAAATTTAAACGAAACATTACCAACAAATTCAAATAAACAATATTACTTTTTATATTAGAAATTAGAAGGTTGAAATCGACCTTTTTATACATATTTCCGAACATAATGAAAATATATAAATGTATACAGATAAGAATATTCTTCTTTCTAAATATCAGATAATAAATGATACAATATATTGATCGTTTGCAGGAGTCAATAACTTTATTATATTTTTCTGATAGAGCATAAAAATTGTATTGAAGAATCAACCATGTACTTATTCAGAACTTTAGTATAAAGGTCAAGAAATTAAAAGTATATTGCATTGAATAAGAATAAACAAATCATATGGTATTCAAGTCACGTGACTATATATCCCACGGATTAAAATTCTGAGTTATAGGGGTAGGTTAACAGATTATAAAGACAAAAAACATATCCAAAAAGTCTATTCCAAGAATTTGAAAATAATATGTCAAATCATATATAAATAAATATATATTTTAAAGAAAAAAATATCATAATCAGTATACCTTAATGTAATATAAAATTAAATATATTATTTATTTTTCTATTCTCCTCTCCTATAACATTATAAAAACTTTCATATCAATTTTTCTCCTTCTATCTTCCATTCTCTCGCCAGCAAACATCCGTCATCATTTTCCATTCTTCTATCGCCAACTTTAATTTTACATACATCATTTTTCAATTATTTTATCTATTTAAGTATATTGTCTAATTTCATTAATAATCAAAAAATTGATTGTTCAATAATAATAAATCCAAATAAAATCTTAACTTATCTAATATATATTTTCTATATAACTTTTAATATAATTGATAATTAACAAATGATGACTAATTATTTTTTTCCATTTCTACCACCTTTCCCACTGCTACCTTTTTTCCCTTCACCTTCCTGCTCTTTGATTTCATTTAACAATTGATTTAACTCTTCTTTAAATGGTTCCAATTTTTTAAGTTTTTCATGTTCATCTGTAATTAAATTCTCGCCATTATCTTGTTTTTCTTTAATTCTTTCAATTTGTCTGATTTTTTTCTCTAAAGCTTTTATTTTTTTCTTGTTCATCTCGATCAATTGTTCTTTATTTAACATTTCTCCTTTATTATCATCAACTTTGTTGTTGTTGTGGATATTAACTTGATCATTATCTAATGGCTGAATCTTCATATCTTTTAATTTATCTTCTAGTTCATCAACGTCAACATTATTGTTATTATTATTATGAACATTGTCATCATTGTCATTATTTGAATTTAATTTATTTCTTGCCTCTTTGTTTTTAGCATTTCGTTTTTCATTTTTCCTTTGAGCTTTTGTTTTAGGTTGTTCGGGTGTTTTATTTGTCGTTGTTGTTGAAGTTGTTGTTACAGTCTCTTGTGCATATTTATTTCTATAAAGTGGAACATCTTCTGGTGGAATGTAGCCTGGACGCACTTTACGTTCCGCTCGAATGGTTCCATCTGGTCGTTTACTTGCCGGTATAACTCTTTCTCCATTATCTTTTGTGATTATACCAGAAGGTGTTGGCGATTGTTTAGAAGTCATATTGATTTTTGAAAAAAAAAATTTTTACACAAATTTATTTATTAAATGGCGTGCGTGAAAATTACAGGGGCCAAAATGCATTAGTGCTGATCCATTTTTTTTAATTGATGAATCATATTAAAAGATCGACAAAAAATAATAAAAGTTACACAGAAAAATCAATCAACACTACATATTAATATATACAAAGAAAAATTTTTTTTTTACATAATTAAAGGCAATAAAAAATACATAAATATGTTCTTTGAGATTTACTTTATTTATATACACAAAAAAAATTTTTCTTGCAAGACAAAAGTATAGTAACTTTTTTTTATAAAAGGTTACCGACTAGTGTTTTTTTCGTCAATTTTCCCCCGCCGATCACTATTACTATGTTGTATTAGACGGATCGTCAATTAATGTGTACGTGTCGATCAAATCACAAAACTTCTTTATCGCCACTCGTCGTCACTAGTTTATTTATTAAAAGAATGGTTGTTACGATCATCGCTATGTAATCTTGTATAAATCTACAGTATTTTTAATTTTCTGATGCATTATGATTACTGCTTCTCATAACCCTGAACAAGTATGACATATAACTAAGTTGTATATTAATTAATTTTATCTTTAAAAAAACTAAATTTATTTTACCAATGACTCCAATCATTTAAATTTTTATTTCTAATCATCGCTTTTCAAAAAACAAAAGTTAAAATGGACCTCTAAACCCCGAAATTATAATGCAATAGGCAAATCCAGAGGGACTGGAGGCTCTTGAATTGCTTGAATTGCATTTGGGTTCTTAAATCTTTCAAAGAACTTATTGAAGCTTTCTATGCGCGAGAGATTCTTTGGTATCGTAAGGCTTATAATTTGATAGCACTGGCATAGGTTGGAAAAGATAATTTTATTAAATCTAACGCCTGAGCTTGATATTTCAGATTTATTTATTCATTAATTTCAGAAATAATTTTTTGCATAGTTTGTGTATTTATTACTCGAACGATGCATTTATTTAATACGCGTGGGTGGGTATTATTAGAAGAGAGAAATACGAGAGCCTTTCTAGTTCTATTATAATTGATTATTACTACCATACATACATATTTATATTTCCCCGTAATTTTCTCTTTTTTTTTTTTTTTCATAGCGATGAATAGCTTGTGTAGTTTGTATAGATGAACCCTATTATAAGGTTAACAACAATGTCAATGGTTAAATTTTACTTTCTCTGAAGAAGCCTGTGCAACAAAATTTTTTGGGTTCTTCCCACATGTGATTGGATCTAAAGAATTCGAACGATGTGTGGCCTAGGAATTTATGGATTTTTTGAATTGCACTTGGGTTCTTTTTGTGAAGGACCTATAGACGAAGCCAAGCCTATCGATTAAACCTGATACCTAGGTTTGATATGTCAGGTCATTGCTCAATTACGGAGCCAGAGTTTCGACTTGAGTAGCAATATTATTTTTGTTTTTTTAGAAGTAACTCTACCTACAAGCTTGAAGTTGTTGTACGCGACCAAGAAGGAAACCCAGAGGCCAATTCCGCTTCTCTACTACCATTTGGATGACAAGGCGAGGATTAGATTAAAATTCAAGTTTTTTTCAAAATTGGTTCCTTTTAAATTTATTTCCGCATGGTCTTAGTATTATCCTTACTCTGGGAGTTTATTTCATTTGGATCTTTCCTGTTCATTGTTTATTCTCATTACATTTGTTTATGATATATGCACACTGAATTGTTTATTGGAAACAAAGGTAATACTGTGGGGTCGTTTACGATGGATTTAGAATTCGAGGGTCTTGGCCTTTGTTGAATGATCAATATTTCCCATTGTTTGTTCCAGCATTCGCTCATTAGAGGTATACAATGTGTCAAATTTTCATCCTTTTATAAACTGTGCTCATGATTCCATATTTTCAGGAGCGTGTTAATCAATCACAGAATCTTGATGCGATCGACGGGCAAAAAGAGTTACAATTTAAAAAACTTCAAAGATTTTTATATATAACACTTGCTTTATTGACAATCTAATAAAATGTCTAATACAAATAATCAAAACAATTTTTTTGATAGTAATTTTTTTTTTGAAACTCATCCTGACATTGGTAGATTTAAAAATAAGAGGAAAATTATGAAGATATACTTGTAAAAAATTGAATCTTTATTTGTTTGATTTTTTATTCTCGTAATTCTTCTATACTTTTGTGTCATCCAACATGTTCAATAGCACCGATAATACTTCTACTACCAATTGTAATAATGACTTCATAATTCTCATAATCTCTTCAAGTAACATCATCTACTATCTTGGTTATTAGAAACAAGTTGGGTGAACCTAGCATTGAATGCCTCCTATAATAAATAATAGTAATAATCAATAAAAAAGTAAATATATTACTTAATGAGATTATATATAAATAAAAATACCTGTAGAATATTCGCATCTTGATAGATTTCAGATCCATCTTCATTGAAAGTGCGTGCATTATCAAACATCAAAGTCATATCATTGGAAAATTCATCATAAGACTTATAATGTCCACGATTAATGCGTTTACGTAAAAGATTAAGGGAGACTGGTTTTTTGATTACTTTATAATAGGATGGGTATTCTTTTCTGTTAGGAAGATCAAGGAATAATTCAGCCCTTTTACGTGGTTTTCTACGAAAAAAAACCACCAAAATATGTTAATGTATAATATATGACGAATACATGAATTTAATAATAACCAACTTACTCGTCTGATTTGTCAATAAAGCTTTCAAGATAAACAATACATTGATGAAATACTTTTTTCATTTTAATGGAAGAGCTTTGATCAACCATTTGTTTTTTCTATTTTGTAAATATAAATAATAAATATTAATATTAATAAATATTATATAAAAATAATATAAATAAATCATCTTACTGAATTTGGAGTATCATCATCATCATCATCCTCGTCATCCTCGTCATCCCCATCTTCATCATCTTCATTATTATCTTCGTCTTCATCATCGATCAAATCTAGCTTGCGTTTTGTTGAACCATGAAAAGAAAAACTTTGTGTAGTTAAAGATCCAGAAACAAAATCTTTTTGTATATTTTTTTGCGAGCTACTGCTGCTACTACTTGCAACATTCCTATTATTTTCTTCAATTTCATTGTCATCCTCATCATCACCAATTTTCACGTCCACTCTTTTCCTCCTTGACCTTTTTTTCATATTTTTTAACTCTTCAATAGTCGTCAACTCCTCTTGTATATTATTGTGGATACCTTCTGTCGCTTTCTGTTTAGCTTTCCTAATAGATCTTGCATCACTGGCAATTTTCTTTTTTGGCTTTTCATCCTCTGAATTAACAACATCTTCTGCTTTTCGTTTTCCTTTTCGGTCTTTTCGATCTTTCTTATACCTTTTTTTAGGCTTCAATTCCACATCCTCTTGTTCTTTAACCTCTGGTTCTTCGCCCTCATTATCTTCATCATCTTTACCTTTGCCTTTTTTTCTTTCAAGGCGTGCTTTTTTCTTTTCTTTCTTTTTAGTAATTAAATCTGCTACATCCATGTTTTTTTCAAGTGCCTTTTTTATAAATAAAATAAATAAACCGATTATAGATAACTAATTATATGTATTTTTTTTTAAAAAAAAAAGACTTACTTTTAAGTATTGATCTTCAGTTAAACCATCATCATAGAGAACTTCCTTTCGTTGTCTTTGACCTCTACCATATTCTTCAACATTTTCTGCTTTGATTATTTTCTCATGTTCTGCTAAATACAAAGGAGGCAATTCATGCTCTTCTATTAATCTACCTTTTCTAACACTACTACTTCCTGAACTTAACCATTCTCTTTCCTCGATTTTTTCTCTCTCCTCGTCAATCTTTCTAAAGATTGTTAATTCATCGTCACCACGTGCCAATAATTCATTAATTTCATCATCATCAAGAACTTCATTTTCATCTGTTTCATTTGTTTCATCATTATCTCCACCTTCTAATAACGATCTCTAGAATTATATAGTTTTTATTGATTAATTAATTGTTAGTTCAATAAACATATTGACGCTTATTATAATGTTGATGGCATACCAAATAATCTTCACGTTCTTGAGCAGTGCTTTTATGATCAAATTTTCCTGCTTGAATCACCTTACCATCAATATCAAGTTTATATTGAGCACGAGCCAAAATATTTTCTTCAATGGATTTTTGTGAAATCAATCGTAAAATTTTAACTTCATTTTTTTGTCCAATTCTATGAGCTCGATCCTGAGCTTGTAAGTCTTGGTGAGGATTCCTAAACAATTAAATTATTTTTATTATTATTATTATTACTACTATATTGCTGATGAATCACATAAAAATATAATAATAATAATAATAATAATAATAAATTAATAAATAAACAGATATACCAATCAGAATCAAAAATTATAACAGTATCAGCAGTTTGTAAGTTTAAACCTAAACCACCAGCACGTGTACTTAACATGAAAATGGAATATGGTGAAGCAGGAGCATTAAATTGTCCTAAAAGTTTTGTACGGTCTTCAGACTATTTATTTTGAGAGAGAGAAAAAAGGAATTAGTGATGATGATAATGATTATTATTTATAATTAATTAATAATAATTAATTTACTTTTGTTGTACCATCCAATCTAAGAAAACTATAGCCTCTCCATTCAAAATAATCTTGCATTATATCCATGATTGTAGTCATTTGAAAAAATACCAAAATCTATATCATAAATACATGTATACAATTATTTATTTATTTAATAACAAGTAAATAATTATAAATAAATTAAAAATTAAATTACTTTGTGGTTTGTCCTGATTAATTTAGGTAAAATTCTATCGAGAAATTCAAACTTTCCTGATACACGGTATAAATATTCATTATTACTATTACTTTTATTGATATCTTTTTCAACTTCTTTAAAAACAAATGGATGATTACATATTTTTCTTAATTGCATTATTGTGTTGTTAAGACCCTTAATACCAGTTTTCCTATATATATATATATATTATATATTTATATTATATAATTATAAATAAATTAATGTGATTTTATTTGAGGAAAAAAAGACTTACCCTTTTTCTCCTTTGTTAACAAATATTGCGCCATGTGTTTTCATTTGATTATATAATTTAATTTGAAGTGCTGATAATTTAACTTTTATTATTTTTTCAATCTTATCTGGAAGTTCAGATTCAACATCTTTTTTTAATCGCCTTAAAAGAAAAGGTCGAAGCACTTTGTGAAGACGACGAATAATCAAGAGCGTCTCCTCTTCATTTAAAGCTATTTTATCTTGACCTCCAGTATTTGCAAATGGCGTATTAAACCATTCATCAAAACTTTCCAATGAGTCAAAGATCTTTGGTAAAACAAAGTTTAATAATGACCACAATTCGGGTAAATTATTCTATGTTATATATATTTATTAAAAAAAAAAAAGTGAGACATACGAGACATACATAATAGAATAAACCTATTAAAGAATCAATTAATAAATGAAATAAATCAAATACCTGTAATGGAGTTCCGGTCAAGATTAAACGATATCTGAATTTGTATTTAGTACTCAATACCATAGACAATTTAGAATTGACATTTTTCATACGGTGACCCTCATCAACTATCACATACAACCATTTAACTTTACCCAATTGTTGTTTGTCCTTAATAACATATTCATATGTAGTCAAAAATACTTGAAAATCAATATGTTTCAAGTGTCTTTGTTGTATACTTCTTCTCTCATTAATTGTTCCTTTATAAACCACTTTATTAATATCTGGTGCCCATTTTTCCAATTCCACCATCCAATTTGTCAATGTACTATCATCAATATAAATAATATAATGTATATCAATAAATTTAATTATTAAAATTAAAACTATTTCTGTTGGTATTACTTACGATAACGGAACAATTATTAGAAAAGGACCATTTTGTCTCTTTTTTTCAATTAAATAAGTAATCAAGGAAATCGTTTGGATTGTTTTTCCCAATCCCATTTCATCCGCAAGGATACCATTCAATCGATTATTGTATAATGACACCATCCATTCAAGTCCTTTTATTTGATATTCTTTCAACACACCACCTTTAAGAATTGATGGTTGTTTCACTTCCTCTTTTATTCTATGCGCAACTTGATAATAATCGATTTTCTTGCCATCCTAGTTGTTTATCGAGGAAAGAAGAAAATAAATACAAATGATCTAATAATAATATATTACGATATTGATATAAAAATATACCCTTGTCTCAATAATATTATCTTCATCAATAACTGATGATGATAATGATATGCTTGGACCACTATGAGCGTTAATCGTAGAATTATTATCAAAATTTTGATTTTGTTGAGAGGAAACCGCTTTTGCTAATGATTCAAGATACTGGTCAGTTTGTTTTAATAAGTGGCTGAGTCTAGTATCTTTAGTTTCATCAATCAATTTCATGTATGCCTCCTCATCGTCATTCTTTAAAGCATTCAACCTTTCTCGTTGGAATTTATCTTGTTTTCTTTGTTGTTCTTTTTGAACAGATGAATGATAATTTAAAACTGCCATGCCAAGTGCAAGTTTTTTTTCTCTCATTAATTCAGATATAGTGATGTAATCTGCATACATTGCACTTATTTGAAAGAAGAATTTTTGTCGCTTAGCTTTCTCTTCATTGATTTTTTTCTGTATGCGATCTTGTTCACGCCTATGAAAATATGACCAAGTATACTCAAATCTCTCTTTTGGTCGTCTATATTGCAATATCTCATCAAGTCCTTGTGGTCTACGATACATTGGACTGTATTGCATAATTTCATTGCGAATCTACACAAACATATAATTAGAAATAATATTAATCTTTGAAATTAATGTATAAATAAATAAAATAAATAATAAGCTTGTCATTACTTTTTGTTGAAAATCATATAGTCTTAAGGCCTTTAATTCTATTACAGCATTAAGTTTGGGATTTGAAGCAGGTCTTTTGTTATCATCAAAAGTTAATCGTTGTTTCAATGGTCTATTTGATAAATTTGCTGGTAAATTCTCAAGTGCTTTTATTCTTTCGTTTATTCTATTTCGAATTTCTATGACTCCTAGCTCAGCTTGTTCTTGTGCTTTGATAAGTACTTCGGGAAGTATTGGTATGAAATTAGTAATAGATGAGTTAGTAGTAGTGTAATTAGTGGTAATTAAGGTGGAGGAAGTAGAAGCACTGTTGGTTTCTGGTGTTGATGATAATGATGATTTTAAAGAAGCTTGTAAAAATTTTAGCGAGTTTATCGTATTGTCAAGTTCACAGCCATAAATTTTGGCATATATTTCTAATGATTGTTCATATTCTGAGTCTCTTGCCATAGCAGCAAAAACATGTGGTGGCACGATCATGTTATTACATAAAAGTGAATATGCATATTTCTGACTCATCAATCGTCGTCTTCTTTCTTCAGTGAGCTTTATAGGCTTTTTATTAGCTAGTTGTTTGCCTTTTTTACTACTCATTGTAGAATTTGTTGCTATAACAAGCCCATAAAAAAAATAAATTTTTGTAATTTTAGTATCACATGTTTTTATTACACAATTAATTCTTAAAAAAAAAATAATACTAGCCTCTTACGTTGAATCTATACTAATACTAAATAAAGTCTTACGTAGATAGTCTACAATAAGGTGTCTCGGGTGTAAGCCCCAACATCGCGAATGACTCTTGTTATTTTCCTGTAATCTATTTCAAAAGTATGTTACGAGCTCAGTTTACATCTCTATTATTAATGGTGATGGATTTGAAAGATGTACGATCTTTGAACCACCCATATTTGACTTGATGTCTCTACAACATCCGCACGTTTGCTAGTGCATTCCTCGGTGCAAATGACGACCTTGAACCAAGGATACTTGCGGGATTCGTGGAGCAAATATTGGCGAAAACGGTATTTGTGACCAGGTCAACAACACATGTCTTGCAGTTTTAGAGTGAATTTTAACCATGCATGTCTTGTATTTTAAACTTGGAAAGCAAAACTACATGGTGGTTTTCGCACAACCACCTTTCTAATCTTCGATGACATTAATTTTCTTGTGTGGATCCGAAAACATGCACCGGCAGAGTTTATCATATACTTATTTGCTTTGCTATGAATGGAGTCTGTTTCACCTTGGATTCTATCATAATGCAAGCAAAAGTTTTCCACATTATAAAACCTCACCACTCAGGTTATAGCCGGCCACACTCCTGGATCAAGAGAAATGATGCCAGTGCTCTATTCTATTCAACCACCGAAAGTTTAGGACCTTGGTTATCATCCTTAATTTCAAGTGGTTTGGAGGATACACAAGTAGAATTCACCAAGACGATTCACGGTGAGACGAAGGTCATAATTTATTTCAGGTATTTCTTCAACATTTTGAGAAATGAATAACGACCTCTTCCCCATTCTCTTGATACAATGGTGATTGGCTGTAATTTATCCTTTTCAGATCTGAATTTCAAGCAATATTTGACTTGTAATTTTTTGAAAGGTCAAGAGTCCGTTTAAGGCTAGTATCTTTAAATTTTTCAGATTGATATAATTTTCAAATCCATTTTTAATATTTTTAAGAACTTTTCCTGCTGGAGGTTTTTTGGAAGAGGAGGTTGAAGATGAAGGAGTAAGCATCCTCGACTTTAAGAAGGTGAAGAAGATGAAGTCAATTCTCATTTATAGAAGAAATTACATCTTTAAAATTCCATCTGGTAAAAAGGGAAGATTATTTAAATCTCTAGGTGTTGATGGTTTAACTGAGTCAACTGTAATACATGAACCAAGAGCTAGTCTTTTTAAAAAGCCATTCCATTGACTTGAGCACAGTAATTCGCTATTAATTTTAAGGGTAACCAACACTAATTGTGAGGTTTTTTTGAGTGAGTTCATCCCAGAATAGCTTATATTCGAAGGAGTTGGTTGTGATAGTGAGTCACAGCCAACTGAAGAAGATTGCATGAAATTTTCAATTAAAAAAAAAATAAAGATAAAATTTTGCAAATAAGAAATTTTTTTAAAAAAAAAAAATTGAAAGATTTTTAATATATTAATATCTGTATTTGTGTTACATTCCGTAAACAACTTTAAAGTAATTTCACCCATAACAAAAAATAGTTTGGGCTTATAAAAAAGTAATTTTTGCCCAAAGTGTTTCGGCAATTTCAGCTACTAATAAAGAGAATTTTGGCCGGAATCCTTAGATTTTTATGAACTGGATTTTAGTGAATTACTTGATGATTCACAAAACTATTTAATTATAGAAAAACAAAAATGGATTCAACGGGATTTAAACCATCTCTATCAAACTTCATCAAGATATCAATCATTTAATATACTTGGGGATTATTTTGAAAAATCGATCAACAATAGTCCATAATTATTTTTAAAATCTGACGACTTTAATGATATTGAAAAATCAGTATTTATTACTTTACTAGAAAATCTTATTTGGAATTCAAAGAAATTGATATTTGGAATTCTGTTATTCAATGGGGAATTGAACAAATTAAAATTTTTTTTGGGGGGGGAGAATATATTTCAGTTTGGAACAATGATGACTATAAACAGTTAAAAAATATAGTAGAGGATACTATTCCTTTAATTAGATTCCAGGATATCTCTAAGGAAGATTTTTATGATAAAACTAAACCTTATCAAAAACTTTTTCCTAAATTTTTATGGGAGAACTTTATAGATTATTATTTGGATCCTGGTGATGTACATCAAGCATTAAATTTATTGCCACCAAGGATTCCATCATTAACAACCAATCATAATTTTATTTTACTTTTTGCAAGTTGGATTGATAAAAAAAAATCCACCATACACTTCATTCAGGGAAATCACATATAAATTCAAACTTTTGTATCATAGTAGTAGGGATGGTTTAAACGAAACTACATTTCACCAAAAATGTGATAATATCAACAAGACCCTTGTAGTTGTCAAAATACAAAATTCAGAGCAAATTATTGGTGGTTATAATCCACTTAATTGGAATGGAATTGGGTTTAAAAATACAACAGAAAGTCTTATATTTAATATAAGCAATAGAAATGATATCAACACTGCACAATTTAGTTGTGTAATTAATTGTCAGTGCAAGCACATAATTTTGTGCTTTCTTACTTGGTTTCCCAAGTTTGGTGGTGGGTTTGACCTTACAATTAATACAGATTGTTGTTTGGGTGGCTTACCAAGGTCCTATAATAACATCAATATAGTGTCACCGATTAAATTTGGGAGAGCGTATTTTAATTGGTGATAACAATTATTTTTGTTTTTGCGTGGATCAGAATG